CGCTTCCACCATGTGCCGAAAATACTTGATAGCCTCATAGACAGCCAGGAGTTCGCGGTCGTATGGGCTGTATTTCATCTGTGAGCTGGAAAGTTTGTGTGAATAGAACGCAAGAGGTTGCCAGTCCTCACCTTTCTTCTGTTGAAGTACAGCTCCGATGGAAGTCAAAGAAGCATCCGTGACGATCGCTAACTCTGCAGAAGGATCTGGATGAGCAAGGAGAGCTGCATGAGAGAGAGAAGCTTTGCAGTCCTCGAAAGCTTTACGACGTTCTGGAGTCATTTCCACAGGATGTGAACCCTTAACCTTCGGACCAGATAAAACGGCATTCAAAGGTGCTTGAAGTTGAGCTGCGTGGGGTAGAAAACGATGATAAAAGTTGATCATACCCAAGAATCGACGAAGCTCTTTGACCGTTTTAGGTTCCGGGAAGTTCTGGATGGCCTCGATCTTAGATTGGAGAGGCTGTGTTCCAGCAGCTGATACTCTGTATCCGAGGAAGACAACTTCAGACTGACCCAGATGACTTTTAGAAGTGTTTACTAACACTCCATACTCCTTGAGGCGCTGAAAGATGATGTGCAGGTGTTCCTTATGCTGCTCCACAGAACTGGAGAAAACGAGGATGTCATCAATATACCCATAAGCGAAGTCGAGTCCCAGCAGAACCATATCGATGAACCTTTGGAAAGTTTGAGCCGCGTTTCTTAAGCCAAAGGTCATGTACGGGAACTCAAAAAGCCCAAAAGGAGTAGTAATGGCAGTTTTAGGTATGTCTTCTGGATTGACGGCAATTTGATTATAGGCCTTGACTAGGTCTATAGTAGAGAAGATGGAACAACCTGACAGTTGGTGTGAAAAGTCCTGGATGTGGCGGACGGGATACCGGTCTGGAACGGTTCTAGCATTTAAGGCACGGTAATCCCCGCAAGGTCTCCAGGCATCATCCTTCTTCTTCACCAAATGCAGTGCAGAGGACCAAGGACTTTCAGAGCGTCTAGCTATACCACTGGCGAGCATATCCTCGAACTCCTTTTTCGCAGCTTGGAGGCGAACAGGATCAAGACGACGAGGCTTACACGAGACTGGAGGTCCAGGGGTAGTCTTAATGTAGTGCATTGTACTATGTTTGGGAGGAGACTGAATACCTGCAGGTCTGGTGATTTCAGGGTAATCACGAAGTATGTGATGAAAATCCGAATCACCAGTGACCGCCTTGATGGAAGACAGCTCATCAGGAACCGAAGACGAAAGGGCTGCTACTGACAAGGTTGTAGTACCGTCAATGAGACGTTGGTTTCTGCAATCCACGAGTAAGTTGTAGAAACTGAGCAAGTCGACACCAATGATAGGTCGAGATACATCGGCGACTGTAAAAGTCCATGCAAAATCTCTCCGAAGTCCCAAATCCAAGTGAAGCTGAACTGGTCCGTAAGTATGGATGACGCTATTGTTTGCAGCTACCAGGTCGTATTTGGTAAGTGAGCAGGGCGTTTTATGTGCTGAACGTGGGAAAACACACAGGTCGGAACCAGTGTCCACAAGGAACTGCATTTTCGTTGCACGATCTGTCACAAACAAACGGCCTGATGATGTTGAAGGTGGGCAGTCGTTGGCCGCTACTTCCGACCGCCCTGTGCGTTTCCCGACGTGAAGGTACAAGGTTGCTTACATTTCTTCGCTTTAGCTCCGTATGTGAAGTGATAGAAGCAGTGAGGATGATTCGGAGGTGGCTGCTGTGGTCTCGAGCGACTGCGTGAGCGATCGCTTCGCTGTGACTTGGAACGACTGCGTCCGGGATGCCCTTTCCTAGACATGTGAGAGGTAAGTGAAGCTACTTGCCTAGTGAGTTCGCTTATCTGCTTAGTCATCTCTTCGAACCGATCAGCACCTGAGGATGATGTACTAGCGACTTGAGGAGATGGTGCAGCGATGTCGTAGACAGAATCAGCCAAATCAGCCAGGTACTCTAGTGGCTCGTCCCTCCTAGAGGCTAAAACAGTTCGGATTTCCTGGGGTAACCTGCTGGTCCAGATAGTCTTCATGAATTGGCTGGGCACGTCTGCACCTGCTAGACCCTCTAGGTGGCGCAGGAACTGCGAGGGCTTCCGGTCTCCTAGCTCCTCTCGCTCCAGCAGCTGCTTCAAACGCTTTTCCTGTGATGCACATAATCGTTTAATAAGTTCAGTCTTTATTTTCTCGTATTTGCCCGATGCTGGAGGATTTTTAATTACGTCCTTCACTTCCATTGCGTATTGTGTGTCGAGCTGTGAAACTACATAATGGAATTTGGTTTCGTCGGTGACTACCCTAGAGAGGATAAACTGACTCTCCAGTTGCGCGAACCATACAGTAGGGTCCGCAGGCCAAAAAGGTGGGACGCGCACTCCCACGCGCGATACCTGAGGCTCCTCCACTATTTCGTTCGGAATAGGACCATCCTCATTAGACATCTTTAATTTTAAAAAAATATTAAGTCGCTTGCCGCTTGTGACTTGGACCACACGCTAAAATTTCTATGAAAGAGAAAGTGGTATGTATCTAAGTAATTTCTCAATAGTTACACCAAGTATTTCAAAAAAGTACCTTAGAAACAGGTTCCCTTGTTAAACTGATGCACTGATGCAATCCTGGATATTCCCGATTTTCAGCCACAAACCTTGAAAAATCTTCTACCTTCAAAAAATCCGGCGCAACAATCTTCAAAATTCTTCTGCTTTCGGGGTCACCAATATGTGGGGGAATTGCCACCACATTAATTCCAAGGTTCGTACCGGGATCCTTATCCAGTAAGGTAGGTAGGACGTTTGAGAAAAAATATCACTACACTGAGGTGGAAGTCGAAAAATGAACGATATTAGTTTAGTAGTTCCAACAATTATATTTTAAAAAGAAACTTTACATAATTAACAGATATATAGATATTAACTCGATACAAAAATAATGAGCGGTAGTAAGCGTGAGCGCCGAACGCGGAGTGCGTAGGTAGGTCCGTACATTGCCGGTCGCTAGGCCGGTGCGACGTCACACGCCATCCTTTTGTTTACTGCCTCGGGTGTATGGTCCAAGTTGCGAAAGTTGAGCGGGGCTAATAACTTCGTAGGATGTGGTGTAAGTAGGTACGCCACAAAGTTAATTGCTTTGTTGGAAGAAAAGGACAAAAACTGGTTCAGTCACAAGTCACGGAGGCGAGAGTCAAATTTGTAGCAAGACTGGGCTGACTTCGACCAATTAAATTTATGAATAATTCCACTTATACTATATTTTGGGATAATACTTTGTATTGACGTTTTATTAACAGTTTTATATATTTATCTAAGTGACAGACAAATATACTGTACTCGAATGAGAGGCAAATATTTTGTTTGCGGTATTAGGATTGGGACCAAATTATTGTTAGCAACATATAGGGGTTTACGGGTCTTGCCCTTTTGGGATAACACTTTTATGATATGCATATTTTAGGCTTTTTAGTGTATATTTGCTTACTTTTGGTCTTCGTTATTGAATATAACGCAAAGTATAGTAATATATTTTTTAAGCAAGTTAACCGTTTGATGGCTTTAGCTTGGTTTTATTTTTATTTCATGGGTTATCAAACCCACTGCGCCCCGCCATGTTATCCACGTTTGTTGTTATACATTATTATACAACACTATATTTTTACGAGATAAAAAGTATATCTATCTGTCTATATGTTTTCTTTTTTCTTTCTTTTTCTTTATTTTAAAAAGACAACTCCCGCATTAGGAATATATCTTGTGTCGCGGCGTGGCGACCACTTAAACCACTACCAGGTTTATCCAGGGTGTCAGCTACCTCCATTCCAAAGTTTATTAAAATTGGTCAGGCCGTAGTTGAGCGTGAAGAAGTAAGAAGCATGTTGTATGCTTCTTACTTACTCTTCACACACACTCCCCAAAAATTTTGTGCCTTTACAATATTAGTGTGATTCAAGAATAATCACACAATATTATAGAGCCACAATATCAATTATGGTTATTTTATTTCCAGTAACAAATTGTGGTTTCCCTTCTATTGTGCCTGGCCTAACAATTCACGTTGCGAGCAAAACTAATCATATTTGTGATATCTGGCTGGACGTATGTTTTGACATGGACCAAAACGAATTGTTTCTGTTGAATGTTGAACGCACTTCCCTGACATTTAGGTTGGAAACATTGTAACGTTTTATTCAAATTACGCATAATTTTACTAACAGCATACATTGTAAGAAATGATATTTACAGTTTATATTTTAATTAAATCATATTTTTGATAATCCATTCATGTAATAAATACATTAGAGTACAATGCAAGCAGGATTAGGTTTGTTAAAATATTACGTTGGATGATCTTTTCGTGTTATATTCGTCAGGCGACGATTTGTAAGCTGGCATAATTTAGCGTACGATTTAATGCTTAATTAGTAGATTCTAGTTAGACTGTACGTAATATAGCTAAGTGATGATAATAGTTTTACTCCTGATAGTATGTATAGATATGACGAGCGGATGGCGGAGTGGTTTGTGTAACGGACTGCTATTCCTAAGGTCGCGGGTTCGATTCCCGCTCAAGTCAAACATTTGTGTGCATGAACATTTAATGTTTGATTTGGTCTGGGCGTTTCTATGTATAATATGTATGTATTTACAAAAAAAAGTATATATGTATTTATATCAGTTGTCTAGTAGCCATTGTACAAGCTCTGCTTAGTTTGGGACTAGATGGCGTTGTGTGAATGTGGTAGAATATTATATTATTATTATTCCTACGGAGTCCTAATAGAAAAAACAAAGACACAAAGAGAAACAAAAGAACAGTTCGTGCGAGAATCTACCACATATAAATATACCATACTATATATAAATAATTTGGAAAAAACATCCTAGCAATTCTGGGTGGGTTTCAAACCAGAAATTTCTTGCTAGTTGACACACAATTTCATGTTTAACAATTATTCTCTTAAGTTACTTAAAGATTATGCATATGAGACTCACCAAATCAGCAATATTAGCGACTTGAATCGCGTCATGGACGACCTCAGACCTGGTGCTGCCATTTCTTCTATCAAACATCGCCTTATCTATCACCAGTGCCGTTTCGATATACTTCGTGGTCTCTCTTACGTCACGCCTACGTCGGTTAAGGGATCGTAGGCCAGCGTCTTGCCACCAGCGCCAAGCTCGTTCTTCTTTGGAACGGGGTGATGAGCCACTATAACAATAAATAACATATTATATTTTATTTATACTTACTAGGATTGTTCTAAACTACCTTATATCTCACAATTAATGTTCTTATACAACAAGAAAAATAAAATAATAAGCAAATTCGACATGTATTGTGTGTATATAGTTTTATAAAACGCAATTTATAAGTAAATCAAATAAGTATAAAAGAGTGTCAGCATCTGCCTCCTAGCTTCATCATCAGATCAGCTCCAAGATGTCAAATTTTATTATTGTCATCTAAACAACATATGCATTATATAACTATAGAACTACATACATAGTTCCATTTCTAAACGAAAATTAGAAGTAGGTAAGTTAAAACTTCCATATATTTTTTTCCTAAATTCAAATTTGTTAGGTCGAAATGGAACGAAAAAGTTGTTGATCAAATATCACTTGAAGTTTTAATTTGTATTATATATTTTTTTAAACTAGATTGCCACTTTAATATGTTACCTTTGTTCATAATACCTGCATTATAACTAAATAATAACGTTTTCTGTATTAATTATATTTAAAGGAATTCAAGTCAATTTACGTACAAACACAAAACACGTAGATAAAATACAAACACAACATTAACATACAATATACTATAATGTCTATAACGCTGAGTTTTTATTTAAAAAATTATCGACAAAATAAAAACAATACGCGCCAAAATTTTACTGACAGATAATAGCAAATCAAAGATTAAATAAAAATAAATATCTTTTAAAATTAATTTGAAGTATGGTTCCAAGGAGGTTTTATCTCTCTTTTTGAGAGGACAGTAAATCAAGCTTATCAGGCCTTCTCTGCTGGTCCTTATTACAAACAAGTAGGGAAAAATCCCGGGTAGGCGTGGGTTGATTGCTTCCGGAAACTTCGATTGCCGCTATTGTAAATAGAAAATATCATTATATTTTCTATACTCTTTTTTGAAGAGTGTATTTAGTTCAAATGTTGTATATAGTGCACTGTATTTTGTTATTATATTGCTGAAAAAATGCGGAGTGAGGAAAGCAAATAAAGTAAGAGAGCTAAGTTAAGGGATATCACACTTTTCGGATGGGTAGATGGAATTGAGACTGCTTTTATGGTTAAGGGAGCAAACGAGCAGCCGAGTTACCTGGTAGTAAGTGACAACCGCTGCACATGGACACCTGCGACTCAAGATAAACAAGTTCGTTACCGCCCTTTGAGCCTGCCTTCCCCCCCCCAATTAAGAGTAAGTAAGGTATTATTTTAAGGTTGTATATTATTTAGCTTCTAGAAAAATCCTTAGTAAGAAACTCGCAGGTATATCTGTTGCTAAGTGATATTTTTCTGTCTATGAAAAACATTGTAATTTTTACCACGTACATAAACTTTGGAAAGTCAGAAGTGGTGCCAAACGAATTCGAAGGTCTGAGACTACTAATATTTGTTAATGAAACCCATTATACTAATATTTTTAACTAAAACACGCTAATAAAAGGATTTAATAAAGCTGAAATGAAACCTTGTGTTGAATTATTTTTATTCTATTATATGATGCGATTATTTTGCAGTCAGACAATGAATTTAATAGATTAAATAGTTTAATAACACATAAACGTAGTATTTACAAAAATACAAAAGGATGTTTCTTATTTCATTGACTTCTCTGAAGTGTTTTACTACACTGTAATTATTCGTCTTGCACAGACATTTTTACATTAAATATTTTAATTTTAAAATTATAACTATTCCTTTCACAGAGAATCGCTGTAATCTACAGTTAATCTTTTTTCTCAAAGCATTTTTCAAATCAAAAAGATAATATCTACTAGTAAAAACGCAAAATAAGTAATTATTATTTAAATACCCAAGTTTTATATTATACAACTGTAATTACATTACAGATAGATACTTTTAAATAATTCTAATTTTATTTCCATCAAAACAACTTTCTACCATTGTTACTAACTTTCCAAGTGAAACAAAAAGCGAGGCAGGTAATTAATTAAAACTTCAAACGGATTCATTACAATCATTCGCTATACTCATTCATTCAGTTCATTCATCTGCTTTTAGAATTCAAGCCATTCTAGTATCATTCGTTTAGCGATACTTTTTGAATGTCAATTTTATGATTATGACATCTGAAAGACTTCAAAGTGAATATTTTTTATTTTTTGTAAATGGCAGACGGTGCCGATGTCGACAATTCTGCCATAGTCGAATGCGTGATGAAGGTGCGTGTGTCCAAAGTGAATATTGGAAAGTAGAAATAAATTGATATTTTGTATATGACATAACTTTTTTTTTGGTCTTTTTACCACATACACACAACGCCATCTAGTCCCAAACTAAGCAGAGCTTGTACTGTGGGTACTAGACAACTGATATAAATACATATATTTTACACTTCTTTTTATAAATACATATATATTATACAAAGAAACACCCAGACGAAATCAAACATTAAATGTTCATGAACACAAATGTTTGATTTGAGCGGGAATCGAACCCACGAGCTTTAGAATATTATATTTTGCAGTCCGTTACACAAACAGAAAAAAAGTCTTCGATAATGAGCTTAACGTAAATTAATGGTCAGCAAGTAAACTTGGTAGGAGATCCATGCATCGGCACAATTGTCAACCACGGCCTCACAGAAAACCGTTTTTAAGCAATTTTTTCATTGCTTTTCTACTAAGTGAAGTTCTTCTTCTTCAACAGCCTTCAATAGTCCGCTGCTAAACATAGGTCTCTTATTAGAAAGGAGGTTTTGGCCTACTATACCACGCTGGCCAGACGGGTTGGTATAGGGTTTGTTTCAAGTTTTCCTTCTCTTTGAAGTGCTGTTATCTACGTAGTTTGGTCCCTTAGTTGGCTCTTACGACACCTTTACCGGTGGTGACAGTCAGTATTCATAATCTTATTCTTATTCTTTACTTAAGTAGTCTAAAGTAGTCTAAAATAGTGACGTCATAAGTTGCTATTTAGTACATTTTTAATACTAAATTGTCATTTTGACAGATGATAAAAATTAACTGATTTGACTAATGTGTCAAATACCCTATTGTGTGATAAGTACGATCGTGACTACCTAATTTGGGATCAGACGGCCTTGTGTGAGATATGTTTCATCTTCTTATTAATATTTATTTACAAAAAAAACTACTTGTGTTATGTAAATTACACCATTTTAACATAATTATTTTAATAAAACCAGGCTACCAATCGAATGATTGAACAGTTGAATGTATTGGTAAACCACGAATCCAGGGGCTGAGTAACAAAAAATTGCATGTGTGCGCGAGGCCGCCTTTCATCAGCGGTGCCAACAAATTGGGTTCGAGGGAATGATGTATGAGGTAGAAGCTACACAATGAAACCTTTTAATAGATCAGTTACGTATTGTTGTGTACTCTTAATGTAGAGAGCTTTTGAGTTTGCTTTTAGATGTTATTATGAGAAAATTAAATAGGTTAGCATACTTTGATGTATGTGGGAGAGTATGTTACTTCAATACGTGTGGACTCGTCTTGAGTGGTACCATGGTTGCACAGAATAATTACTTCACATCACACTTTACACATCTCACACACGGCCGTCTGATTCTAAACTAGGCAGATCCTGTACTATGGTAACTAGACTGCTGATAAACATATTTATATATTTCTAAATACATATTATAGAAAATTACACTCAGACACAGAACAAATCATCAGCTTATCACACAATTGGGTGGGAATGTAACCCACGACCGCTGGCTTGGCATTCAGGGTCACTAACCAGTAGACCAACAGGCCGTTTTAAACAATTCTTTGCAAGGTAGAGGCTATGAAACCACCTCTCTTTCAGGAAGGGAGGGAAGCACTCAAAAGACGGTTACGCGCTTGTACCTCCTGAGTTAAAAGAGTGATGATACTCACTTACCATCAGGTGATACATCTGCTCGTTTATTTACCAAAATAACAACTATTCGTCACTTGTTTTAAGAGATGGTATTGTGCTCTTCTTAAAAATAATACATTGATTAACTTATAGCACTGGTGTGAATATTACGCGATTCAGGCCGAGAGAACAACGCCCTCTATCCAGATTTAAGTTAAACATGCGTTAGTTTGCATTTACACAGACAATAAGATACAAAGACACTTGAGTAAGTAAATGCATAGTATATATAACTAACTAGCGCCCTCAATTTGTCTGCTTCTCTCAAAGGGAATAAATTTTCCCCCGTTTTTGTAAGATTTTTCATTGGTACTCGGCTCTTGATAGTCGTTATGTGATGTTATACAGCGTACAACCTTCCTTGAAAAATGGGCTATTTAACACTAAAAGAAGTTTTTAATTCGAACTGGTAGTTCCTGAGATTGGCTCGTTCAACCGAACAGACTTTTCAGTCTTTAATATTAGTATAGATACACTCTAATTAAAATAATGTTTTTTATTAGCTTTAAGGTTTAAAAACAGATTTTATTTCCCAAAAAAGTATGCCCTACTTCAATACACCTAAATTATGAAAAATTATAACAAACTGTATTCTTTGTGGCCTTATTATTTACCCTTAAGGGTGAAATGTCGTCTTCTAAATCAAATCAAATCAGATCAACTGAGTATCCAATTAAAAAAAGAAATAATGAAATTGGTTAACAATTGGCGAAGATATCAAATAACATAGAAACTCTTTATTTGATTTTAAGTATTAAAGCTATTATTCAATTATTTTGTTTTTAAAAGACAACTCCCGCACTAGGAATATTTCCTGTGTCGCAGGGGAAATTTACAAAGATTCATTAAATGGACACAAAGAACACCCAAGACTCAGTACAACGATTTGTCGATTACACAAGTTTTATCCCATGTAGGGATCAAGCCCACCACAGTAGATAACAGCGAGAGGTGACTGCCACTACGCCATTAGTGCAGTCGAAATAAGGTTCATTTTTTTGGTGGTTTAGTTTATAACTTACAAAAGTTATGATAGCCTCACGTCAACTGCTCATAACCTTTTAAAAAATATTGCTTTTGCCGATATGATGATGATAAGAGATGGTAGTTATTGAGAGGAGATGGAGTTCCTAACTATTACTAAAAAGCGGAACACTTCATAATAGTCATAATGTATAAATTGTTTAGCAGCCAGATCAAGGTTATCAACCAAATAAGTTATACTGTCTAGATGACAACGGGTCGAACTGGAGAGTAGTCATTTTTTTAACTTCAGTCTTTCAAGTATTGCCTTATCTAAAAACCTAACAGAAATTTAAGCAAATGAAAATAGGCGCATGGATTCAACCCACCATAGATAAATACTGACAGAAATTAATCCACACCAGCCCCGATATACACACATGTTGTACAGTATAACATGATAATTGTGACCGCAGTCGCATGGTTCGTTAAATCGCATTAATTATCGATATCAATACAGCTCACAGCTCTGGCGCCTCTGGTCCGTGGGGTGACGGATTAAGAATACACCAGATTAAGGATTAAGAGTGTCATGACCCCTATTCCGTAAGAGCCGACTAAGGGAGAAAACTACGCAGGACAACAGTACTGCAGAGAGTAGGAAAACTTGACACAAACCCTACACCAACCCGTCTGGCCAGCGTGGTATAGCAGGCCAAAATCTCTTTTCTAAGGAGAGGCTTATGTCCAGCAGTGTACTATTAAAGGCTGTTGATGATGATGATGATGATGATGATGCTCTGGCGCCAATGTTTTATAACAGAATCTACAGAACTTTAGTTCTCATACTGCGACCCGCATATGTTCGGCTTACCGCTATCAAATAGACATATGTAAATTTTTTTACACGGTTGTTATTTAAACTGTATTATTACCCAACTCTTTCTAACCGCGTAACACAGGTTTCGTTTGTTTTTAAACCTACATCAGGCACCAGTTTTTCACAAAGGTGGAATTCGAAATTTAAATCACTACTGTCTTATTTTCAGGCGTTCATTTATGAAAAGAGATTATTACGTGTTTGATGGATTTTGACCGGGGAGAGCCATGCTTCGGCACGAATGGGCCGGCTCGACCGGAATGATACTACGGCCTCACAGAAAATCGGTGCTAAGCAATTCTTTTGTTGCCTTTCACTGAGTGAGTGAGGTTACCGAACCGCTGACTCGAGAGAGAGAGACTTCAAGGGCGGGAACGCACTTGTGACTTTTGAGTTGCAGGTGTCTATGGGCGGCGATAGTTGCTTACCATCGGGTGATCCGTCTGCTTGTTTACTCCCTTCTATCATTAAAACTAAAAAATAATTCATACTTTACATTAAAATATATCCTTTGATTTCACTCTTTAAGTATATATTTCGTTTTCATGAAATTTGCATACATGTGTCAGTTATACAAAAAAGGCATAGAGTACGTTGGTACAGAGAAAAACGCGATTGTCATGGCTCATAATAAAATGTTCGTCTATCGTTCATTCAAATGAATTCAGAAACAAAATATTGAAGAGAACTGCATAACAAAGTATTTCTCTTTGTCGTTCAAGTTAAAAATATTTTCTCAAACAAGTTCAAATAGAATTTATGATAGAAGTTCATAGTGTGTAGTTGACTGAGAAAAAGAAGGCGACAGCCGCGTTGGACCGTTGGGTTGGATGCTTTGTTCGCTAAATGCTTGGTTCTGACAAATCTACGATTATTATTTGCAGCTCAAGTATTTTTTACTCATATAGTTATATTTTAATACCTTACCGGTTTAAGTGTCTATTAGAAAATGAAATGCTCTATACAAATAAATAGTGAAGTGTATGTTTGTAATGTTAAGATAATATATTTTTTTCATGCTCACACTGCTATTTTCAAGATACCTATGTTGAAAATCCAGTTTAAATATGTTTTGTCTGTCAGTTTGATTCGGGTAATCTTCAAAACGGCTAAACCAACTTTGATAATATTTTACTACCAGATAGCTATCTTTATAAGGAGTAACTTAGGCTATTGTTTCTCTCAGAAGAACCCAATTAATCTTTGCTCCGGGAATCGAACCAGAGAAATATTGAAAGTACTTTTTTGTGACGATGTCTTTTGAGAAATAATTTATTAATAAGTATCAACAAAACAAAGATATAAAGATATTAGGACTATTCTACACTGTTCATCTATACTACAGACAGTTCATCTAGACTATTCTACACTTCGTTCCTTCATTTATTTGTGTTGTGTCGGTCTAAGAACAGAGGGTCACCAACCCTTTTCATCCAGTAGATGTTGTAACAGCCGACTAAGGGAGCAAACTACGCAAGACAAAAGCACTACAAAGAGAAGGAATACTTGACACACAGCTTGACACAAAGCTTTGGTAGGCCAAAACCTCTTTTCTAAGGAGAGTCCAGAAGTGGACCATTTAAAGGTTGTTGATGATGATGTGTGATGCGATACACTGATGCTATAGTATTAAGGTACCTATTTATTTCACTTAGACTATTTACTTCTGCTAAAACAATAATAACCCATATCTAAATGCACTTAAGCCTTTGATGATCATGCCAACCTACACTCCAGCGCACCATAAAGCAAATTAAATGTAGTTCAGAAGATGTGCAGCACCTGAATAAATTCGAGATGATCGTATTATTTTAACGAACCAGCGAATCAAAGTGAACAATTTGAAATTAACTCATTACTAAATGGTATTTAGTAACTATAGGATTTGAGTGAGATTGTTCATTATTTAAATAGTAAAAGAGGTTGGTTCCGAGGATGACATATCATCGTATAAGAGCCAACTGGAGTGATATCACGGCGTCACAGAAGAGTTGTGTTAAGCCATTCTAAGATAGCGGCGATGATGTATGAGATTTGTTTTTTGAGCTGTAAGTGTCCATGGGCCGTGGTAGTCACTTACCAACAGGTGATGTATGCTCGTTCGCTTGCCTATACGATAAATAAAACATAAGGTAGGTACTCAACTCTTTAAGCCAGTGCTGTCTAGTCCTGTTTCTTATCTCTCTCATTTTATCTGTTTTCACTATATACCTACTCTAATTTCCTGGTTTGTCCCGTTTGGAAACGATTAAATTCCTGAGGAGAGTTGTATCTGACAGGTGGTAGGTCATTAAAGAAACCAGTCCAAACTCTTTGCATTACATCGGCTTAAATAAAATTGGAAAATGACAATACTAATTTTTCTGACAAACTGCCGAATTCAACTGAATCAGTACATTAATTCTTACAAAATACCGCTTCCGTAAGTCTTATCACACAGAACAAATTAGCTTCGAACATCCCCCAAACTTGTCTCCCAAAACCATTTTGACAACTTCCCTGCTAATTAGCCGTTTAAATTATTTACGCTTTTGTAAATCTTCATAATTCAGTGGCTCCATCTGCCTAAAAGGAATAAATCGATCAGAAAGTATTTTACTTGTAATAAGTTTGTCCGCGGCGTTCTTTTGAGGCGCCCCTGTTAAGTGAAAAGATAAAACAAAGTTTTTAGTTGCTCAACTTCCTAAACTGATTTTGTAGTTCGTGCACCTGTTGTAATTGTTAAATTTAGCTTTATGCCTCAATTTACCTACTTGACAACAGATGTCGTTGTTTTTATATTTAAATTGTAAGATACGTATCAACTCATCAGCAGAATATACAAACCCTCATTTTTTTATTGAGTACGCCTTGTTACAGTGCACTTTTAAATGTTAATAGTATACAAATAATAGTCATATACATTTTAAGACAACCGAGACACTAGTATAACAGAGATTACGTGACCCTGATGATTTTAGTAAAAGTTTATAAGATACACATAAGTACATTTATATCCCCGTGGCAAGGCTCTACTTAGAGCAGTCTGCCGTCACCAAGCCGGCATATAATTAAAGCCATGCAACCCATCAGAAAACACTCCTGAAAGAAAAACTGATGGTTAATGAAGATTCCATAAAATTCGGTATGGTCGATGAATCCTCAATCGGTGACGGCGACTACTTTTAGAAAAAATCGTCAATCGTAAGAATTATTAACCACTACACCAATAGGTCAATTCCATTAAAAAAAATCGTTTACAATCTTTTACATTTTCGATTCAAATTACTGACTGTTTTAAAAGATTCGTAAATTTTGACCGTAGCTTTAAAATAATCATTAAAGCATTCAATATTCAAATCCATAACCACTTGATTACGGTCCGACGTTTTAACTGCAACACTACCTGCCTTGATTTGCGTATGAATATTGTATGAACGCTATTTAAATGTCTCTTAAGAGTATTGATTATTATAAATACGCTTTCACATCATCATCAACAGCCTTTACTAGTCCACTGCTGGACATAGGCCTCCCCTTAGGCCTAAGGAGGTTTTGGCCTACTATACCACGCTGGCCAGACGTTTTGGTATAGGGTTTGTGTCAAATTTTCCCTTCTCTCTGCAGTGGTATTGTCCTGCGTAGTTTGCTCCCTTATATGCGCTTTTATTCTCTTTAATTATTACTAACTTTGTTAATAAATATTTTAAGTAAATTTTAACCTACTTGTTATTAATGCATCGAATTAAAACTTTGAATTAGAAAGAAACTAGAAATTTATTTGACAATACAATAATTTGACGTCGTGAAGCTAATCTGATGATGAAGCTGTGAGGATTATGGTACTTATTATTAGCCCCAAGTAAACAAGTCCGCGAGGCCAACAGCAGCCTGATGATGAAGTCGGAAGAATTTCTGTATCCGATAGTAACATGAACTACATCGGTATAATGCTCTTGCGAAATAGTAGTTTTATTTTCGTGATAAAACTAAATACTTATACTTTCTAACGCATTTTAGAATTAAATGGAAATAATATTGGCAGTAAGAGACACCAAGCTAATATTATTAACGTAAAAAGAATGGTATTACTTACTGTATGCCAGGGTCATCACCAAGCGGTTCTTCAACAAAGGAAACATGCTTGGTGCGTCGACTCTTGGGCCTGAAATCCAGCTTGTTAGCACATCCCTTGTTGGCTTTCGTTCGCGCCTCGAAGATCACATGTGGGTGCTTCTGCTGAAACGAATCGGTTAAACGTTTCCTCATTAGTGTGGGTCCAAATTACAATTACAGAATTAAGTCTGAAGTTTGAAGATTTTAGGAGAATATATCAGATTAATGACAAGGATGTTCTTGTAAGAACTCAACTTATAAATGTTTATAAGGTTTTTAGGGTAAAAAGTTTAAAAGTTATGAGACTTAAACTTTACTTAATTTGTTAATTACCAAAGTTTTAAAGTGACTACCAACCAGTTATGTATTTACATAGGAAAATTAATACCAACACGTAATAGGCGCAAACTGACTCAAGCTGTCACCATGACCAGAGCAACTCGGTCGAAATATCAGGTAATTCAAAGGTGGTTAATACCAAATGGGTGATAACGTGAATTCTCGTCATCATCAGCCTATCGCAGTCCACTGCTGGACATAGGCCTCTCCCATTGCACGCCACTTAGATCGATTTTGGGCTAAAATTAATTAATAAATTAATTATTTTTTATAAAAGTAATTTTATAAAAAATCAGAGATATACATTTCGAACCAGCAATATCCTAACGACCTAGGGACATAAAATAAGATGACACACCCAATGGGGTATCATATTCAAACGGATAAAAACTCCTAAATAATAAAAGAAGGAAAAAAAGATGACACATTCAAATTCTAAATCTTATTTCTCATGATTTTTGTAACAGTTGTTAACATTATTATAGACTCTGAATCTGGTCCTGTGAGGTGTATTACTGTTTCATACTAGAGACAGGAAAATATTAGCCCATTTTCCTGTAAAATTTATGTCATTCCTCACATTTAAAGGCTCAGTAAAACGTTTACTAATTTAAAAGGAATTACAGTTGGTCCGTGAAAAAAGTTGAAAGGTTTTAGATTGGATGGAGTTTCTTTAATTATCTTTAATTGAAATTGAGTCTAGTGATGGTCCTGCCCCCCTATTCATCCCGTGGGTGTCGTAAGAGTCGAAACGTTGTCTATCCTATTATTTTTTGAAAAAACAACACTTTTAAATAAAAGATTTATGCAGACTCAGTAAAAGTTGTATGACAAAGCAAAATGCTTTTTAGTGTCTAGCCTTCTTTGTAACTGAACTGAACCCGATAAAATATCGATAATATGTCCTAATACGATGCCATTATCAAACGCACGGGACCCTAAGACCCCGAGCGTCGTTAGTGCCTTGTCGGCTAATGTGAAAGCGCTCTAAGTCATAAATTTTTATTGAGGGTAAAGCCCATGATATTGAAGGCATTAGGGGGATTCGTGGATTCATTTAAAGGCAACGAATTTAGGGACTTCGAATATTGAAAGACAGAATATATCGTCTTAATCAACAGCCTTTAATAGTCTTTGGACTCGAATATGTCCAGCAGTGGCCTATCTACTGCTAAACGTAGGCCTCTCCTTAGTAAGGAGGTTTTCGTCTACTATACCACACTGGCCATATGGGTTGGTATAGGGTTTGACCTGCGTGGCAGACTATTTAGAGGAGCGTACCGTCGAGTACGAGGACCGAGCTGGTAATTTGAGGTGTCGGCCCATGTCGTGCGGTGTTCCACAGGGGTCTGTTCTTGGACCCCTCCTGTGGAACATAGGGTACGACTGGGCCCTTCGAGTGGAGTTTCCCCCTGGGCTGGGTGTAATTTGTTACGCCGATGATACATTGGTCACAGCCCGGGGGCGAACTTTCAAGAGGCGGCGCGCTTGGCCACCAGGGGAGTCTCTCTGATGGTCGGGCGAATTGAGGCGCTGGGCTTACGGGTGGCCCTGGATAAGACGGAGGCTCTCTTATTCCATGGGCCCCGTCGTGGTCCACCCCCTGGCGCCTCAATCGTGGTCAACTCGGTCCTCGTACCGGTTCGGGCCCAGATGAAATATCTGGGCCTGATCCTCGACGGGAGGTGGCTCTTCGACGAGCACTTCCGACAGCTTGCTCCAAAGCTGGTCGAAGCTGCATCTGCCCTTGGGCGACTTCTACCCAATCTGGGTGGACCCAGCGTCGCAACGAGACGGCTGTACACGGGGGTTGTCCGGTCAATGGCACTGTATGGTGCACCGGTGTGGGCGGCGGCTCTGACCGCTCAGAACAGGGCACGCCTCTGGCGACCTCAGAGGATATTGGCGGTTAGAGCCATACGCGGTTACCGCACCGTTTCAGCGGAAGCGGCGTGCGCGTTGGCCGGTACTCCCCCGTGGGACTTGGAGGCGGAAGTGCTCGCCGAAGTATATCGGCGGACGGCTGGTTTCCGGGCGGATAGTGGCAGTCGGCCCCCGCCCGAAGAGATAAGCGAGTGGCATGAGGCCGCTCGCCGAGCCACGATGGCTCGTTGGTCGTCCCGGCTGGAGGCTCCACGTGCTGGCTTTGCCGCCGTGGAGGCGCTCCAGCCGGTCATCGTCGAGTGGGCAGGGCGGCAGCACGGGACCCTTTCCTTCCGGCTGACGCAGGTCCTTTCCGGGCATGGCTGCTTCGGGAAGTACCTGCACTCGGTCGCTAGGAGGGAATTGAGTCCCGCCTGTCACCACTGCGACTGCAGTGAGGACTCGGCTCAGCACACGCTGGCAATTTGCCCGGCTTGGGCGCCGCAGCGCCGGGTCCTCATTGCAGTCATCGGGGAGGATCTCTCGCTACCGGCCGTCATACGCTCCATGGCCGGTAGCGACAGACGTTTTACCGCGGTCGCATCCTTCTGCGAAGACGTCATCTCGCAGAAGGAGGCGGCGGAGCGGGCCCGGGAGGACAGCCTCCACTCGGACCCAATCCGTCGCCGGCGAACCGGGCGGCGGAGGCGCGCTTATCACCGCCTCATGCCGCCCTGAGTGTGGCCGCGGGTGGACGGGACGGGTTTTCCCCTCCACCTGCCATAACGGCCAGCCGCGAGGAGGCGACGTCCGCGTGTGCCGGACGTCGCCTAAATAGAGAATGTACCTGAAGGTGGTGCCCGCATCGTTGCGGGCTGGCGCTAGGAGGGGTCCGGAGGTCCTAATAACAGCAGTTCCCGGATCCCTCCTATTACAGGCGCAGAGTGGCACACCGTGTGGTTTTAGTCGGTCCGATTCCGACACACCACCCCGCCGTAAACCCCGGTGGGGTGACGGCCCGAGGGGGTTTCCACAAGTTAAAAAAAAAAAAAAGGGTTTGACCTGCGTCTAGGAGGGGTCCGGATGTCTTAATAACAGCTGTTCCCGGATCCCTCCTATTACAGGCGCAGAGTGCCACACCGTGTGGTTTTAGTCGGTCCGAGTCCGACACACCACACTTTTTTTTTTTTTTTTCTTCTTTCCGTGCGGAAATTCCCTCGGATACCACCTGTCGGTGGCATGTCGGACTCGAACCGACTAAAACCGCACGCCGTCGCTGGGTACTAATAGCCGGGGAACCAGGTATACCCTAGAAAGGAAGTCCCTGGTGAACGACACACCACCCTGCCGCAAACCCCGGTGGGGTGACGGTCCGAGGGGATTTCCACACGTTAAAAAAAAAAAAAGGGTTTGACCTGCGTAGTTAGCTCCATTAGTCGGCTCTTACGACACCTACGGGATAAAAAGGGGTGGTGACACTATGTATTTTTAATCCGTCATCACACCACACGGATGTATATCGTTTGTTTTTTGTTGTCCTACACTGTGCAATATTAAAAAAAAGACTATTTCAAAAAATTGTCATTTTTACGACCTAGAAATAATACTGATTCTAACTCATGTCGATTTCATAATATTACTGGATAATAATAATAATAATATTTAATATTTACTGGATATATTAGTTACATAACTGATCTTGAAATTCTAATCGTTGAGTAGATTACAATATTAACATTAATTAGAGCATAATCTCGACCTTATGAGAAACTATAGTGATAAAACACATCTGTTTTCCAATTTTATTCTACTGATTATGATACTAGTAAAATATTTTTTTCAGGCATTCATAGAAAGTCCTCAATCTATCTTCTATATATATATATATAAGAGATTTCCACGTATATAGTCACTCATCACGATATCTCTGGAACCATTAGAGCTAAAGACTTGAAATTTGGTAGGAATATTCTTTTCACCGAGTAGAGGTCAGCTAAGAACGGATTTTAAGAAATTAAAAAAAAAAAAAAAATTAAATAATTTAAATAGCAAAACAACGTTTGCAGGGTCAGCTAGTCTTTAATATATTTTAGCTTATACAAGCGTGTTTATGTATATATTCGTAATAGGTATACTGGCTTGTGACAGTACAATAAAAAGTAATAGTTTTTTTTTTTCTTTTGTTATAAATTTAAAAATGTAATCATTATATGTATTAATGAAATAAAGAAAATAGTAATAAGACACGGCCGTCTGATCCCAAAATAGGCAGAGCTTATACTATGGTAACCAGACAGCTGAGAACTATAATTATATATTTCTAAATACATACATATTATAGAGACATTACATTTATACACTGAACAAATAATCATGCTCATCACACAATTATTTATTTGGGAATGGAACCCACGACCTCCGGCTTAGCAGTCAGGACCACACCATGGAGAGCCATGTTCGGCACGAATGGGCCGGCTCGACCGGAGTGATACCACGGCCTCACAGAAAACCGGTGTTAAGCAATTCTTTCGTTGCCTTTCTGAGTGAGTGAGGTTACCGGAACCCAAATCCAACCTCCCGCTGACTTGAGCAGGAGAGACTCCAAGGGCGACAACGCACTTGTGACTTTCGAGTTGCAGGTGTCCATGGGCGGCGGTAGTTGCTTACCAATAGGTGACCCGTCTGCTAGTTTGCCCCCTTATACCATAAACAAAAAATAACACTTAACCAACAGGTCTGTATAACCTCAGGTATGACGTAATCCAACGATAGAAAATTTTCTACAAATGCCAATTCGAGATCATTTATTTTAAGAGAAGGTAAATAGAAAAGAAAAAATAATTGTACTTGACTGACGGTCTCTTTTGATAAAGGTTCTTACAGATAAAAAAGGCAAACTTAATCTAGTCTAATCAAACGAACAACGGGTCAAGAGGCACTCGATTTAGGTA